CAAGCCCCATCGGTGTGGGTGTGCGGGTAAAGCTTGTGCTGACAGTGTGTCCTAGAAACCTGTGTTTTTCTGTTGTAATCCAGAAGCACTGACCTGAAAGGCAGCTGCGAAAAGACTTGACTCTGCTTTTATCTGTTCTCTTAGATAAATCCCCTTAGTCCCAAAAAGCGGTTTTGAACCTTTGTTGTTGAGAAGATATGAGATCTTACTGCAATGTCTTGTATGAATGAATACTTTAGGAAAAAGTGATATTAAATAGCATCAAAAAGAATTTAACTTAATGCTACAGGCAGACATTACCTGACTCTTCTCTCCACATAGTTTCCCAGGGTAACACTTGTGAACTGAAGTAACATCTTGTTTGTGATCTTCCTTTAGAAATACTTTCCCGACTCAAATAAAACATAGTGTTGTGAAAAATGAATGTAATCTAAAATGACTAAGTGTGCAACGCTTTTACTTCTGGAAACTTGAGTTGCGGAAGTAGAGTAAGCCAGACTTTTTGGTTTCTGTGGCCACCTGGATTACCTGGTGCTGTATGTGCGTTTCCAGGGTTGTTATTTTCCTTTAGTGGGTGTGCTCATCAAACTTTGCTTCAAACCCCAGAATCAAGCCTGAATTATAACCCTGCCCTAGCGTTTCACAAAAGACTGGGCAGTTAGTTATAACTCTTTAGAAGCTATTTTGCCCTGTAGAAATTTTCAGCAAAAGTTATTTTCAAAAATAAAAGTAGTTCTTAACTGTAGGTAGTTTTGCTGCCTCTTTTTTGCAGGAGAAAGTCCTGTCTTGAGGCAGAGCTGTAGTCTGAGGTTCAGCTTTGCGTGAAGTTTCAGCTCCCTCCTGACGATGCCTCTTCCCGGTGCAGGCGTAAGCACTGCGTGGCCCTGGGTGAATGCGAGTGTGGAGATGAATTTAAATGACCCCTTCCTCCTGGCTGCCCACCTTGGATGAAATCTTGTATATATTTGTGCACACAATTTTTTTTTCTTTAATTTTCCTCTTTCTCCTTCTCTGTCTCTTCCCTTTAGTTACTTCTAGTCGTGACAGAGATGTTTGGCAGTCAGTGCCTTGCTGGTGGGTGTATTTTGTTTGCCAGACTTCTAATTCTTTCCTTACTTGCTTTTTTTTTGAGTTTTGGTCTTTGATTTTCTCTGTGTACATGCGCATGTGTATTTAAATCTTTAAATAAAGGTTTATTGTTACCTTATGTGAAAACAGCTTGACGTTGTGAGTAGTTTCTACCTGTTGGAGCCCAAATATGTTATTCTATTTTGGGAGAGGCTGTGAAATTGCACTGTTTTCCGTTCCTTGTGGAGAAGGAAGGGAAGGTGGCTGTGGGCAGCCAGATGAGTTGGATTTATTTTTTGTCCTCATTTAGATCTTTGTTAGCGTGTTTGGAGTATGTTGACTTTTTGCTGTCTCACAGTTATTCAAGTATTTTTCTACTCTTCCAGAACTAATTTAGCTAAAGCTTTCAAAAAAAATCAGATATAAAAAAGGGCCTAATTTCTGTTAGAGCATATGTTTGGTTTTAATTCTAGATTTAGAATAGTATTAAAGCCTGAAATTAGTCTCTCCATAGCAGCGTGGTTTGTGAGAGTGGAAACCTTCTTTTTTCTATGTTTACTGTTTCCTGGCTGCATGATCTTGAAGATGTCTTACTGCTGGTTGGACTTTTTAAATCTAAAATGAGTTGCTTTGAAAGTATTAAGTCAAATCTGTAGAGACTGCCTAGTTGTATGCACTGTATTTCCTTTCTGGTACAAGCAGGCAATAGGGCAGTAGAATGTAATGCCAACAGGTATCATTGGAGTTCTGTCGGGTTAAGAGATTTAAATTAATTCTGAGATTTCAAAATTCACAGAAAAAAATACACCTTCGCTGTACAGAGCAGAATCTGGCAGAGCTTCAGTGGGCGCTTCCTGTCCTTATTGCTTGGAGAGGCGTTGTGGTGAGCTGGAAGAAAACTCCCGCTGTGGCAGTCTGCGTTGTGATGAGCTGCTCTCTCCGGGGGGAAGAGAGGGATGAACGTTTGCAGTTGGCCTCTGCAGCTGTCCCTGTTAAACCTGCTTTGAAAATACTTTTTCCTAAGCATAACTCTTAGGAAGTATCTCAGACATGCGCTGCGCCGTCCGTCCGCGTGAGCTCAGACTGCCTTATGCCGATCGGATGCTACGTCAAAGAAGAGAGAAGAAAACAGAATTTCTGGCAGAGTAGAAAGAACAAGGTTCTGGTGTGAAGCAGCTCAGTCCAGATGCTGTCAGATAGTGAAGGAATAAGTGCCCTTAATATTTCCTGAGTCTTGTGCGTTTAATTACCTTGGAGATGTGCTGAATCGATACAGTTTTTAGAAAGCATACTGTTGAACTTCTCTTTTAAGAGTGTGATCAGTCTTTTTATTAACTGCTTTAACAGGAAGGTGTGTTTTCAGTTCTCCTTCTTTTGGCCAAAGTGTAATTGGCCTATAACGACTCCATAACGAGCAGTGAAATGAACGGGGAGGCATTGGTTGCGTGTGCCCCCCGATCTGCCCCAAGTTCCTGATAGAAGCATTGCACTTCAGTAGTGTCAGCTCCATTTCATTCAGTCTCAGCTTACAAGCAAAGCTTTATAGCAAGATTTAGCTATAGTGCTACAAGCTGGGACTTCATTGCATTTCAATTTGGAAGCAAATCCCCTGACTGCATGCGGCAAAACCACCCTGCAAACCAAATAGGATGCCCCATGGAGGAGGTGAAGATGGAAAGTGCTCCAGATGCTCTCCAGTGCTGAAGAGAGATGTTGCTGTGGTTCAGGTGGTGGGCTGCACCACCGTGGGCTCCTCCAATGTGCACCCAACACATGTGTCTGAGCAGAGAGCTCCCCACAACTCCCCCAGACCCTGGGGCACCCTGAAGTGGTTGTGGTGATGTATAGGTGACTCGGTGCCTATACATTACCCCAGCCTTTCCTTCCAGCAGCAGCTGCCAGCCTCAGCTTCTCCTCATGACTCTGCTCCTCCTTTGTTTTCCGCAGAGGCTTTTCCTAGCCTTCCCCTGTAGGTCTTTCAAAACTGATTCCTTTTCTGGCTTTCTGTTTTATTGTTTTTTCCATGTTGACTGTCCTTCAGCTTCTCGGAGTCCCTTAACAGGACATTGCTGCTTGTGTGTTTGTTCCCCAGGAACCCTGAGGGCTTGCCTGGTGGTAGGGTACTCCGTGGACGTGTCAGGAGCCTGCTTTATCCCACGACTCTTGCTGATGCCAGCTCTGGTAGTTAACAGCATGTAAAAATACCAGCACGGGAAGGTGGTGGCCTGGATCTGCTTGCCCCAAAGAGGTTATCTACCCACTGGTAGCAGGGGAAAGTCGTGACGCTCTGCAGAACAGGGACTGTGCTCCAACATGGGGCATGGGGTCCCACAGCTTCAGGGGAGAGTGAATGAGCTGTGATGCCAGCATGGCAGGAGGACCTCTCCGTGTCTGACAGCTCTGCTTCCACCTCAGTTGTCCCACAGATCGTGAGGTTCCGCGCCTTGGAGGGTTTTTTCTTGGACAAGGAGCTGCCACATCAAGGGCTCCTGCAAAGTCGTCTTGCTGACCTTACCCCTTGGAGAAAGGGAATCGAAGGAGGTGGCTCTCAGCTTCTGCAAGCTGCCTCTCTCAAGTAGCTGGTGTAGCTTCAGGATCCACATTTCCCCCATCAACACCTTGTGTTGGATGCTGTCCATGCTCAGTATGGGCAGAGGGCTTGGCTCCTTGCTATCACAGGGGAACGGTGCATGCAGGAACAGAGACGACACATCAGTGATGGTGGCTAGGGTGTGGGTGTGCGCTGGCACGCTGCTGTCATGGGTGGACAGGTGAGAGGACAGCGTGGCGTGGCATTTGCGGAGGGGGAGAACTTTCCTTGGGAAAGCTTTAAACTGGCATGCAGGGTGGAGGTGTCTTGCAGACCAGGAGGCGAAACTCAGGCTAGCCAGAAGTTACCCCCAGGCTGGATGCCATGGAGAGCAGAGGGTGGGTTGTTTCATTTGCTGATGTGTTCCTGTTGTGCTGTGACTTGCTCGCGAGGACAGCCGCAGAAGGACAGGGTGGTGGAGGAGGGTGGAGTAGGAGACTGTTTGACCTAGGTCAAAGTCATTCTGCAGCGAAAAGTTAAAACAAATGCTTTTTAGTGCTCACTTAAAAAACATTGGAAAAAATCCCCCTGACATTCCATTGAAGTGGCCCTATTTCGGAGGCTTTGGTCAGACTGAAGCAGCTGATGCTGTGTCAGCTATTGGCAATTCATGCTGTGTAGCTCCCGAAAGCTGTGCTCCCCATTTCCCTCCGAACAACTCTAGAGAAATTGCAGGGTAGGATGTGACCATCCACATGGGAAAGGGGTTTTTCCTTCCTCAGTGACCAGGTACAGTAGCAACTGCTCAAAATCGGAGCTCATGTGCCCCTGCACTGCCCAGTTAGCGCTTTCCCTGATCCTTAAGGATGGCAACCTCTTTTGCCTATCTCCAACGGGGGGAGCCGAGCAAGGTGAAGTGGAGAATTGAACCTCATAAAGACCCTTTGCTCAGCAGGGTTTGGCTCTTGCTTCCCATCACCCCGGTTTTCCTTGGGGGTGGAAAGCTGTACGGCACACCTCTGCATGGCTACCAGGCAGTCGCAAGGGCTGCTGAGCTTTTCAAGCGAAACTGTGGGAAATATCAGAGGGATTTTCTTTTTAGACAGCACCACAAGATGGAGCAAAATGATTCCTGGGTTTGACATCTTCTTTCTGTCTAAAAACATCAACAAGAAAAGCTGTTAGACACACACTATCAAGCTGGAAAAACCTGCTCCTTAGTGTCAGGACGTGGTGGGAAACCATAACGCTGAGTTTCAATCTGCTGCTCTGCTGTTGAACTTGAATTGGAGAGATCTGTGCCGAAGTTAATGGCAATCAGAGCAAACAGAAGAGTTTCACTATCTTTCCTGTCAACGTATCTCAGCATCTTTTTGAATCCCAGCAGTAGCTGAGCCTTAACCTTCCTTCTGTTTTTGTTTTTACAGAGCTGACCCTGAACCCACCAGAAGGAATTGTAGCAGGTGAGGAGCTGAGCAAGGTTTGTGCACTGTGAAGTTGTAGCCTTGTGTTCAGGTAGTGCTAAGCATTGTTTTGTTTTTTCTTAATAGGTCCCATGAATGAAGAGAACTTCTTTGAATGGGAAGCTCTGATTATGTGAGTTAATACTGTTTTGTATCTGAAATCAGCACTTGCATGCTATGATTAGCTCCTAGGAGAACAAGAATGTCAAAAAAAAAAAAAATCAGTTCTGCATGACATTGGCCTTAGCCTGCATTTGACTGGGAATTTATTTTCTGACCCAAACAGGGAATTATATTTGGAATTTCAGCAGTGTGATGGAGGCAGCATTGGGACTTAAGTGATCATTTGTTGTACATTATAATAAGCAACATTCAGCATAAGTAAATTGCAAATTTAACAGGAATCGTCATTTGGGTTCCCTTGGATATACATTGCATATACAAACACTGTAGGAGACAATGAGTTGCTTGTAGATCACTCACATCTGTTGGGAGCATTACTCAATTGCAAATACAGGACAGGTTTTTCTCATGTTTTAAGTGGAACAAAATACACAGATTATCAGTGATAGGAGAAGAAAGTCAATGTCTAAAATTAGTTGACTTACTATTCAATGTTTTTCTAGAAAAATGGAAGGGGATTGATCTGAGAAAGTACTCAAATTAAAAAGGAAATTAATTGTTTTGAAATTCTTTACACTTCATGAATCGGCTGCAGTTGTAAAGATGTTGGGTGCAGTGGTTCTGTGTAGAAAGCTCTTCTGTTGGTGAATAGCTCTGATCGCTACCTGTTGTTTTTTGGGGGCTGACAAAGACTTCTTTACAAAGCTGTGTCCTCCCCCTTCCACTCCTGAACCGACGGGTAGGGTTGTTCCTAGCAAAACTTGGCATGAAAAGACAAAATCTTGCCCAGCATCTTGCAAGTTGTTTTCTCTCCTGCTTGTACCCTCTTACTCATGCTGTACCCTTCTTTGGGAACTTTGAGTACATGGAATAACTGGTGATTTTTATAAAATGAAGTTCTAAAATGGTAGGGGAGAGGAAAAGAGACCTTTGTCACTCGGGTCTGACAATTTAGGCAAATGCCACAGAATTAAAAGATGAAGAAGCTTCAAACCGCTAAGTCTGTCTTGAAGCTGATGATCTGTTGTTAGGGTAGATGCAGGCACTGTATTTCAAGATTCCTTTAGTAAGAGTTGGTGATTTCCTTTCTTTCAACCAGGGCCAGGGGGTCCTGGAGGACACCCGGGGGCAGCAGGCGGTGGCCATGGCCCCGTTCACGATGTCCCTGCTGGTTTCTTGGCAGGTTTTCACTGCAACCGCCACTGCTGACTTAGGAGATTCTCAGCCAGTGTGGGTGGCAGAATTTTCCTAGCTCAGTTTGCTTGGAGTGTGTTGTCTAGGGATGAAAAACAAGATTTCTGTCTCTTGGGATGAGGCACGCAACCAATACAAAAGCGTCCCAAGCTATAGCGTACCACCTATTCACACAAGCTGGCTGCGTGGGTGATCCTACTTTATGGCAAGCGTGAGCCTCTGAGTTATTTTAGGCCTTGGTAAATGGAGGTTTGGATTACCACTGCTTGTTTGCTGATTGATATGAAGAGGTAGCAAATGCCTCTGCTTATGTGCAACGATTTATCCAGTGATAAACAGGTTGTACTTCCTGGTAGCTCAGTCCCCTGAGAAGACACACTTAGCGTGGAAATAGGTAATTTGTCGCCTGACACCAGAGATTTTGACTGCAGCGTCTTAACGCTTTCTCTTTCTGTGAGTGGGATAGTTAGCGCTCTTCTGCAACATGCATTTTGTAATGTACCGAATTTCAGCTCAAAGCTGTGCATTGCTTGGAGTGTAGAAATCCCAGAGGATTTTAATGCACTTCTTGGAATATGGAAGGCAATTCCTGCCTGTCGGCACTCTCTTGTAGCAGAGATTGTGTGGCTAAGTAGAGCTTTCATGGGGGATACAAAGAAGTGCTTTTGGATTTGATTCATTACCTAGAAAATACTTTTTCTGATGTTTCCCATAACAAACTCTTAAACAGCAGAGGAGCTGCTTGCAGACTTGAAAGCCCTTTAAAGTGCTGAGTTCTGAGCTTCAGGTCTTTGTCAGTGCAAAATGAGAGGCGGAGGTGCTTTAATTTCGGTTTCTGTATTGTGTATGTGTCATAATAAAATTATATTTTAAGAGCTGCTAAATTCTGAAGCTGTGGTACAATAGAAATGTTTACCCTAAACATGTTTGGTTACTTTCATCTCTTTACAAAACTCTGTTAGTAGAAGTGTTTGCATACATTTGGAAAGCAAGCTAAATTACCTGTTTATATTTGTGTGATAATCTTCTCAAATGTTTTGTAATCTCAAACGTGCTGTGTGAGATTCTGGGAATGAAAGAAGTGCAGATGAGGAAATTAAAGTTGGCTTCAAATTTTTAGACAGATGAAGTGCAAAAGGTAAGTAAGTAGCATAATAATCAAAGAGAACAGAATACTTTTTTTTTCCTTCACCTGATTTATATGAAGGTAGAGCACATGTAATAGCAAATCAATTAAAAAAAAAAGAGACCTAAGAAAGAAAAGACGTTGCCCATTTATCGGTTTAGAGGTGGGCTGGGTAATGTTGCACAGATTGACGTAAGAGCTTGGCTTGAAGATAAAATACTGCCTTTTAAAATAATGGCAAGAATAATTTGTATTTCCGGTGTTCTTGCCTGCAGCAGCCGTAGTGCTGGATAAATGTTAAATATATAAATGTTAAGGCTGTATTGACATGTCTGAATGATAGAACAGTTCTTATGCTCCCAAACTGAGTGTAAGAGATCCAGAATGGAAAATACAATGTTGTAATCTTTCTGAACAGTGGAGTTTTGGAGCCTGGCATAAAACGCACCCTTTTGATAAGACATCAAACAGTAGCTGAATTAGAGTATTTATGAAAGCCAAATCTTTGCAACAGGGTGACTTATTTGCGATGATAAATAGCCCCAGCATGCCAAGAGAGTTTACCATAATGCCGCTCTATTCCTTAGCGCTGCGTGAGGTCCTACAGGCTGCTTTGTGTTGTGCAAGTTCATGAATTTGACGTTTCAAGACCAAGTTTTGCCCTCTTTGGTTGGCGTATATGAGCGTGCATTGCTGTTAGAGTTTATCCCCAAAAAACACAAACCCATGTAATTGTTGAGAACTCCTTTAGCCTAAAAATTGCTTGAAAAGTAAACAGTATAAATTGAAGTCAACTTATCAAAAACCTGTCTAGAAAGGTAATTAGATCTGTAATTAGGCTTAGGACTTTTGTTTAGCATGGAATTCCCCTTTTCGGCATCTGATGACTGTGGGTTTTGGTCCTTTTCCAGCATCTTTTTACAAATAAGAAGCCATTTACAAATGTACTTGAAGCTATGATTATAGAATTAATTGTCCTTGTCAGTGCGCTTTTCCCTCGTATTTAGGCAGATACCCGCCATCCTTTTCTTTCCCTTACCTAATAGCCAGGTCATGGAGTTCAGAGTTTCTTATTTTCATGCTGTGTCTTACATCAACAGTGTTGTTCATGACATCTCTCACACAACAAAACAGTTTAGTTGTCTAGCAAGTCATTTAATGCCATATAATGGCCGGAGGAGAACTGATGTCCGCTCCTCAGTGCTTTAAGGAAGTCCGTAAAGTAGCATCATGTGCGGAAAAAGATGCGGAGACTGCCTGCTTTGCAGGCTGTAGAGAGTCTTAGACGGAGCAGGTTTAGGACAAAGGTTTTCTTGGAGTTGCAAGCCTCAAGCCTGTGCAGAATGAGTGCCGTCCGTGTGCCTGCGGGTAGCGATGGCAAGTGCTTTGCCTTTCCTGGGGCTTGGGAGCTGCTGAAGGCAACCGGCCTGTTGGCTTGATGCCTTTGCTCAGTGGGACGGGTGTCACCGCTGCGTGGTCTGAGTGTTTCTTGGAGGAACCCTAATCGAGTACTGGGTAGTCTGGACTTCAACTGGCATAGGAGCTCAGGCGAAATCATAGCGTGAGGCACAGAGGCTTTGAATGTGGGGTACTTGGAAATCTTTGCAGAGCAGGTGGTGCGATTGCGAAAGGTGCTGTGCTCTTTACCTCTCTGGCCCTGCCGATGTCCTTTTTGAGCTGAAAGCAATGCCATCAAGTTTAAATGTTGCAGCCTCCTGAGTGTTTTGTAGTTGCAAGTGCTGTCTTGGATTAACTGTAATAATTTCTTTGAAGTTGATCCTGGCAGCACTGAATGGCTAAAACAAAAGCGTTTTGCTGACATAATACAGGGCCTAAAGTGGATCGCGTTGGGTTAACATATTTCACAGAAGAGCCCTTAAGGCTGTGTGTTTGCTCTCGAAACAGAACATAAGACACCCACCAGCTTTTCAATGCGTGTATGTACATACTCTTAGAAGTTCAACAATAAGCCTTTAAAATGCAGCTGGAATTAAAATGTTCATGACAAAATGCATTCAGTTTACTCTCAGATGTGAATTGAATCCCAACTAAATTTAGGGAAAAGGCCAGAAAGGGAACAAAATGGTTGAGGCGGTTTGGCTTTCATTCTTGCAGTATGTTGATGCATTTCTCTAATCTTACCTGCCAGCGTCGATATTCAGGTTTAAATCACGTAGTTCTTGTGTTTGTCTGCCAGCCAAGTCTTCTGAATCCCACAGTTTAAGACAGTGAGCCTCCTAGGGCTTTAGGTTTTGCTGGTCTCAGTTTTCTTTTTCTGTAGGTTACCAATTGCAGTCTTAATTGTTAGGGGTCCTTGAACTTTTATGTTCTTTCTGGCGTGGAGAATGTGGATTGGGAGGAGGAGGCACGAATATATTCCTAAACCTTATTTCCCAGACAGTATAAGCCTTGTTTGACGAGCTTCTTACTAGATACATGAGGTTTCCTTGGCTAAGATTTTCAGTGGTGAAGCTTGTTTTATGATCTTTCCAATCAGGGAAGATCATGTTTGTGTTAAAAGTTCCAGGTGGTTCGTCAAATTTGAATAAATCATGTCTAATAAAGTGTTTTGCTTGCTTTCCAAAAATGTTTTATGTAGGGAGGGTAAAATAGTTGTCTTTATACTCTCAATCTGATTGCACTTTGAACTAGATGATGAACACAGTAAGGAAATGTTCCTACAGGAACCCTGGTGAAGTTCTCCACGTGTGCTTGAGGGAGTGCAAACTAAATACCTTAAGTCTGCAGAGAAATGTTGTCCTGCATCTAGCAATTATGGTCCCTGAGCAGCGTTTTTATTTTTACAAAACATTGCTGTGTTTTTTGCATTAGATAGTGATAAGTGTTTATGTGAGATTATGCTTGATACTGGCAGTTCGAATCTCCATAGGTTTCATAAATTATTTTTGAGCTGCAGCATTTGACACCTCTGTCTTGTGCACATAAGAGTATCTTCAAAGGCACAGGAGTCCCACACCTGCCTCTGCTTTCTCTTGACGTGCAGACGCTCAAATCCTGGAACATGCCTTGGAGCCAGATACTCCAATTATATCCAGACACACCCTGCTAATTAAGCAGTGTTGTGACCTTCCTAGTAATTTAGTGTGCAAGCTTTGATTTCCCCCTTCCCTCCCAAACCCCATATTTGGATTTAAGTTTGTGAGGTGTGGGGTAAGAGTGTGTTAACTCTTTGTTTTCTGGGGAAGATGATATCACCCAAACCTCAAATGTCTCAAGAGACAAGAATTTGGGAGAAAGAGCTTTTTAAAACTCTGGTGAATAGCTTTTTATCTGTTTCTAGGGGTCCTGAAGACACCTGTTTCGAGTATGGGGTTTTCCCTGCTATTCTGAGCTTCCCACTCGACTACCCGTTAAGTCCTCCGAAGATGAGGTTCACGTGCGAGATGTTCCATCCGAACAGTGAGTCTGATGTAGCAGGACGTACGGGGGAGTGGGTTGCTTGCGCACGTTAAAAACAAACTTTTGCAGCGGGAATACTGGCATCCTTACCACGGGTGGTTCTCTCCTTTTCCAGCCTTGAGTATGCAGTGGAAGTGTTCAGCCATCCAGCAATTTTGCTCTGTCTTATGTTCACTTTCTCGCATTATTCCTCATAGACCCTTTGGTCATAAACAGTCCGATAAAGATTCCAACAATTTCACTGCCCTTAAGATCATTCCGGGAATACTTGTAACTATTGCGTAAATAGTCTTCTGTACATGATGTGAGATTTAGTGGATTAGTACAGACTCTTTCCAGTCTTGCGCTGTGACTTGCACTTAAGTAGTTTGGTGTTATTTTAATGAGTGAAAATTTGTTCATATTCACCAAAGTGTGGATGCAGCTTTATTAGGTAGCATGGCTCTTTCCCCGTCACAGGTTTAGTGACATTTCTGAAGTGATCTTTCTGAAATACAAAGCTCTCTGTCATCTGCTTGGACACGTGTGCAAGCGTTTAATATTAAGACTTTGCTGGCCTCTTCCCTGCAATTCTGATGATGACAATATTGTCTTAAGACTTTTCAGTGGAAGTAATTGAACAACAAGTACAGCTAACAAGTTTGAGCCTTGGACAGGTAAAAACCTTAAAGCCCCCTTTCACAGCCTGGAGCACTACTTCCTGAAGTGGGTCTTGGCATTCTTTGTAAAATTGTTGCTTATGATGTCTGCTAAAGCGATATGGATTGTGTGAAGATTGTTTATCATCACCCAGGTTTGAGGGGCTGCATCTGTATTCTAGGTTATTAGGTCTCTGCCACTTGAGCGCAATAAAAGGCTGCCCTCCTTCCTAGCCTTTCCTTCCCAGTTGACGTTCCTGCACTTGCATAACACAAATCTTAATCTCAACGGGGAATTGCTTTATTTCATCCTATTCCAAGGAATTTTGCAGTTTCTGAAAGTTCTTCTTCCCTTCTCGAGGCACCACTGCTGCAGATTCTTGCCCATTTAATCTGCATCTTTTTGTTTTCCTGTGGAAGACCCACCTGCATGTCACATTATAGAGCTGGGCGGACATGCCCAAGGCAATGTGGCATGCCTCTGAAGCTCTGATGTCTGCAGCAGTGCCGCGTTTGGCACCTGGAAGCAGTGTGGCTGCAGTGGAACCTTTGGCTCCAGCTGGACCAATTCACCCAGACTTCTTGGCAGGACTGGTCTCCGTGAGCAAATCTGTGTCCAAGCAATACTCTGTAGCTCCAGTTGTGGCCTTGGCTTGAGGTTCGCTGCTCGCTGCTGCTTTGTCTGTGGCATAGCTGGGAGAAGTGGGCTGCAGAGAAGCACAAACTGCCTGACTCTAAGCTGTTACAGAGTGGCTCTACACATGGGCGCTTCCTCCGTGGGGTTAACTGGAACATACTGGATGGTCTTGAAAGTCCTGTGACTCTGGGTCATGTTAGTCTAAAGCTGAGATCACCTAAAGTAGACACTTGAATCTTTCTTCTCAGATGGGATTGTGATGGCCTGGTTATACCCAGAAGGGCTGTAGAAATGGGTGACTGTGCAGTGCTTTTTTCTGTTCCTTAAGTGCTTAGTCCTCCACCTGGGAGGAATTGCAAGGAAAATGTTTAAAAAGTCTACTGTGTTCCCTTGTCTTTGCAGTTTATGTTATGTACAGGGGGAGCTGAGACGCCACAGAACTATCTCCTCTTGAATTATTGACGTTCATGGATGCTCCGGCGAAGATAACTTCAAAGTAGCGATTGGTGACAGGTCTTGCATTAGGACTTAGTGACAAAGTGGGAAGATGCGTACATCTTCCTGGAATCAGCCTTTTCTCTCTTGACTCTGCCACTGTGGTCCAGCTGTTTTAAATGAGGCACTGCATAAAAACATTAGAGTAATGTACAAGTGAAATACCTTTTACCCTTGTGTTCCTGACTTGCAAGGAGAAGTGCTGATTCAGCACGTGCTGTTCTCATCTCTTCCAGCTACAGCTAGACCAGCTCCAGTCCCCAGCCTGGGGCTGTGGGAAGGGATGTAAATAAAAGTCTTCCAAAGCACTTGGGTGTTGCAGGCCTGCGCAGACTTTAGCTGGGTGAATGGAAGGAACGGGAAATGAGCACAACTGCTTCCAGCGGCCATTCCCTCTTTTTGTTTTGTCTTGCTTTCGTGGCAGTGGTACAGGTTTGGTCACCTGAGGAGTAGAAGGACTGAAAGTACTGGGCTGAAGTTGTTATTCCTTGGGAGGCTGCAGAATTAGGCCCTGTTGCTAAAGCAGTGTTTCAAACTCCGATCTCTTTGTGTTGCCTCTTCAACCTTTCTTTGGCCTCATTATCAAGTCAGTGGGGTCAGTGTCTGTGAAGACGACTTGTTCTGTTGCAGATGCTTTGCTTAAGCTAAAAGTGGGAGGGAAAGACGTCTTTATCCTTAATGGCTTACCTTGTTTCCAAGCGCTTCAATGCAGCTGAGCTTTCAGCAAAATTTTAAAAAGAAGTAGCATTAACTCTTCTGGTTGCATCTCAGTAATGTTCAAAGTAAGATCAATTATATTGTTTATAACACACCACTTCTCCCTCCTTGCTGCAGCGGAGCAAGTTTGCATAATTCTTTTTACGGTCACGGTCCAGTGGAGGGCTGCAACGTGCGTTCAGTGCTGTGTTACTGTCACCCTTCGATTTAAGTAGGGCTGGTTACCTACCTGGAGCTGTGTCTGTGCATAAATACTTGCTTTGCTCCACCGGGCTGCAGCTCTTGTTTTTTCCACGGAGCCTGTCAATGGTTATTAAATGATGTGAGTGCTCCCAGCAGGCTTCTGCTGGGGAAGGGTCACCCAAGTTTGTTAGGTTTGCTTAAGGGAGATTTTTGCTAGACTTCTGTCTTTCAGCTTTTGTGTCCTTTTGCCCTTGGAAGAGGAAATTTAAAACTGGGTTTAGCTTCAGTCATACGAAGGCCAAGCCCAAACATTCATCTGTGCTAAAGATGTGGAGAGGCCAAGTGTTTCCACTGAGTAACAATCAATCTCCTGTACTTCTTATGCAGTTTACCCAGATGGGAGAGTTTGCATCTCTATTCTTCATGCTCCTGGGGATGATCCCATGGGATATGAAAGCAGCGCTGAGCGATGGAGTCCTGTGCAGAGTGTGGAAAAGATCCTCTTGTCAGTTGTTAGCATGCTGGCAGGTAAGAACTGCTGTTTTATTAGCAGTAGCTCAGATAGCAGTTACTGAGTTAGCTAGAGCTGCTTCTTGCTGTTTGGTCTGTTAAGTGAGCAAAGGACATTTAAAGCTGCTCAGCAGCAACCACAGTTCTTGAAGCCCTAGTATTTATTTGTTAATAAAACGGTTCTCTGAAAATAATTGAAAAAAAGAAGACAAGTAAAGTTAGTAAAGAGGTGTTTCCAGCTTTGCGAGCAACTGCACTGCTTTCCTTCCAGGTCAGCAGCACCTGAGCAGATGGTGGTGGTCAGGTGGAGTTGGAGGCTCAGTTGGTTCCCTGTTCCTGCACAAAACCTGTGCTCCGTCTTTGCGTTTGCTACGATGTCTGTTCAACTCTTGCAGGTCTTAAAGCTGCTGATTACAGGCTGTGTTGGATTTGGCTTTAGCAGCTGAAGGGTTAGCAACCAGATCTAACCAGTGCGGTAAATTGGAGTCCCTGGCCTCTGCAATTCACAAGCCAGCAGCCTTCGTTTCTATTTGTTATTTGCCAGCCTGGGAATGTAGCCCATTCTGCCATCGATGGTTCAGAGGAAGGCTTCTTGAGAAGAGGAGGGGGGTGTGAAAAACTTTTTGTGCAGCCTTTTAAATGGCTTTCCCTAAATCCAGCAAGGGCTGTGGATCAGCTCTGTTGTGTACAGCTCTCTGAAAGACGGATCGTTTTCCACATAGTGGACAGAGTCACTGAACTGCCTAAAAAGAGCTGAGCAGTATCCCTTAGAATCGGTATTGAATGGGAAAAGATTTTAGACAGTTTAGAGGGTTTAGAAGCAGCAAAGTTTGTTTGATCAAAGAGCAGGCAACAAATTCTTACATGGGATCGTTTTAGCTTCAGAATAGTAACCTACTGTTGGGAAGCTGTGCAGACAAACAGTACCTCACTGGGCTTCCCGGGGGCTCCAAGAACTTGCTTTGTGGTGCAGCCTTACCTGGACTGGTTAGCATGGGAGTCACCTGGTCTTTCTCATTCTCTGCCTGTGCGCCCCGTTTTCCCATGGCTTTTGGAGGAATTAGTCTGAAACATCAGTGGTAAGCTGGTCAGCTTCTTTCAGGCCACTAGCAAACTCTTGGCTCTGGCTCTGCAGGTAGTGTAAGCCCAAACTTCCCAAACTGGGGGACCTGCATATCTACTGGCTTTTAAGGGTGGGCCCTCAGCACTGTGTCAAGAAAGACATGAGCCCAAGATGTCTGCCATGAACTAGGCTGAAGTGGATTTGGACTGGTGTGTGAAGCAAAATGTGTAGAGTAGGTTCTATCTTGGTGACTTGTGCAATCCCGCGACAGTTGTCCCGCTGTATGCTGACCAAGGATCTGATAAATCCTGTATTTCAGCTTACCTCTGTACAGAGTGAAGTGTTAGAGTCACGGGGGCTTAATGGACTTTGTAAAATGCTCTGAAATCCTCGGATGAAAGATGTTGCAGAAATGAAAGCATTCTATGGGTTTTCTTGGTTTGTTTTGTTGTTTTTTAATAGAACAAGCTATCCCAAAGAGTGACGGAGCCTGTTTGGGTGGCCTGGTCGGGAGGGCTTTGTGTCTGTGAAGCCGCAGAACCAGAAAAAAAACATTTTTCAGGGAGCAGCGTGCAGTTTTAAAAACCCTTGACGGCACTGGTGGTGCTGCATTGTGTTGTTCCATGTGCATGCCGAGGCTCAACCGCTGAAAGCGTAAACAAAAGAAAGCCTTGTTCCTCTGCCACTTGTTTCTTACCTAAACTCGACCTTGCTGTGATATTCTCCTGTGATCGGTTAGATTGGAACCGTTTGGGGATCCAGCAGCTGTCAATGGATTTTCTTTAGTGGTGTTCCTGTAGTCCCAAGCAGGGGAAGCGTGCTAAAGCCACCGGGAAGCGGCAGTACACAAGCAGTATTGAAAAAGCGTGAGGGTCTTGCTCCATTGCCTGCCTGCCCGCCTATCTTTCAGTCTTTCTCGTTTCAGAGCCAAATGATGAAAGTGGAGCCAATGTAGACGCCTCCAAGATGTGGCGGGAAGACAGAGAACAATTTAACAAAATTGCCAAGCAGATTGTGCAGAAGTCACTTGGACTTTAAGCTCACAAAGAGACTGAAGTGTTTTGTATTTTTCTCCACCTGAAAACGAGCAGTGCTCAGTGCTGGTACCAAAAAGGAAAACTTTGCAAAACTATTGGCCTGGTTCTTCTTATCATTTGTTATTTATTTAGCATCTCTTTTCTTCTTCCACTGCTCCAGAGAAGCCTCTAGTTCACTCAGTTAATTGTGTGGAAAAGGGATTTAATACAAGGGAAAAATCCAGAGACAGTGCTCTTTCAAAGGCTGCTTGTTGCTACCTCACTTCATGGTATGGAAAGCTTGGAGACTTTGCAATCTGCAGCCCACCTTTGCCAATCTGCTGTTTGAGAACAGAGCTGATTTGGATCACCTGCTGGAAGAATTAGTTGTGTGTTTTTATCAGTAGCATTGCATCTGGAGCAGGAAATAATCTTGTTAATGTTATGATAGTCACTAAGTGAAGGACAGCGTTTGCAGTCAGAACTGATTCGAAGGGTATAGTTAGCAAGAGAGGCTGCAGAACAAGGTTATAGTCAGGAGGCATTAGCAAAGAAAGCGATTGTGCCACGTGTAACTCTAAGAGAAGATCTAGGGAGTTGTCGTCAGTGACTGACTGGGGGTCTAGGGTGGGCTGGTGTTCCTAGGTGACACTGTGAATTTGTATTGAGCCTTTGAGTCAGTGTTTGCTTGGAAGAATTCCCAAGAGCTGCTTTATTACTCCTTAAAGACACTCAGTTGTAAATTTTCCATTCAGTTAGAGGTGCCAGATGTAAAGACTGGATTCTTAAACACTTTAGTTGGGTTCACCATGGGTGAGGTAGGTCACAGGCAGCCTGAAAATCCAGTGAGAATGTGTCTGCTCTGCTGGGCACGTAAAATATCTCTGCAATAATGTCAGTTCCTCTTCTGTTGACATTTAGGTGTTGAGAGGATGAGGCACCGCTGGCCTTTGCCATTGCAGCGCAGGTCACCTGTTTTTCAGGTGAACGAGCGAAGATGGATATGATGAATTTTGTAAAATTAACTGTAACACTTCTTTATGCTGCCTGCTCTCATGTGTTTAAATGCGAGTCAGAGAAGACACCAACTGTGTTTACTTAGAGGATGGTACGACGCATGTTTAGAACTGCAGAGTATTGTAGGTGACCGCTGGTGGGGAGGGTGCTGGAAATTGTCACCGTTTAAGGCTGGGCTGGCAATTAAAGCTGCAATGATCGGTTTGTAAAACTGCTTAGGGGCCACCGGTGACCTCTGTGCTTTGCAAGCGAATCTCTTGTGTAGGTCCAAATCTTTTTCAATGTACTACAAGCAATAACACGCCCATTGAGAGCACATGGAATCCAGTTTTGTTGGCAGCTTTAAACGGGCTAAATTTGAGAAGGGCTTTTTTTTTTTGTGAAAAGCGCATGATGTGGAAGGAGTCGCACCGCAGAGAAAGCTTTACAGAGGTGATTGTGTGCACGTGTGTGTGTACAGCTCATCAGTATTTGTGTCTTGCTGCCTGTGCTGCATATTCCCGTGCCGCGGATCGCAGTATGCCATCGTTACGCACTTCTGAAGGGTTTGTTTTGCTACAACTTGCTGATTTTTACCTCCTTGTAGAAGTAATTCTTCTTGCTTTGGTGTAAGGGTGGGAGGGGGACCTGACATATTTTGCAAGCAGGGATGATCAAAGAGTGTTGTACCTAACTAGTATTTCAAGGCATACAGGAAAATGTAGCACTTCTACGCAAAGTGGGAGCATTTTTTTAAATTGTAGTAGATGGAGCGTCGCTCCTGGGAGTACTGCAGCCACTTTTGGAAACAATGTTGGAGAGCTGCGAGTGCCACGTGGCAAACGATGGATTCAGCAGACATGGCAAAAGTTGGCTTTTTTTAAGTGCGGAGTATTATTCACATGTGATCACTCATTATCTTTATTTTATGGTGGGATTTAGTCTGTATACTGAAAATAAAGTGATTATATTTTCTCCTTTCATAGATGTATGCAAATGTATTGCAGTGGGTGTTTTATATGGGTAACCAACTGGTCAAGAGAGTCCAATTCGGACTTGGTCCAAAGGAGTGGAACTGTTTATTCTAACACAGTTAAAACACAGGGGTTGCTTTAGAGGAGTGGAAGAGTTGACACAGTTGCTTGGGCTTTCCAGGCAAGTGTCTTGTCTCTAATGATGGCAATCACTTGATAATTCCAAGAAAACTATAAAAATATGACAGCTGGCAGATGTGATGCGGTTTACTTCTTTAAAAGGTCTTGTTATGATCTGTGTATCTGGCCTAGGAAGGTCTGGTCCTGGCAACAGGTGAATCATCAGTTTTAATATATCATTCAGAATCTGGTGGTGTTAGCGCTTGGATTTGAGAAGGATGGTTAGATGTCCAGTTCCTACTGAGAATTGCCATAGTCCGCAAATCTCTGTTGCTTAGAAATATAATAATTTCTTTTTAAGTGACTGGCATGTAGTAGGCTTGCTAACTTGGGTGTTTTAAGCCGCCCAGTGAACATAATACCAGGCAATCTTGCAGATGACAAAACGTAAGCAGAAGTCCACCTCAGAGGACTAAAACTTGCCTTGTGGAGTTGAGAAGAACTATCCTGAACGATGGCTGTTTGCTTAGGTGAAACCGGCCGTGGGCATTTGTGTTCACTGAAAGGCTTAAACATGACAATGCAATCGGCATCTTGGATTCCCTGTTTGTTTTACTCGCAGGAAAGAAAGAAAACTTCATCATCATCATCATTCCCTAATAACCTGAATCCGTGCGCACAGGGTGAGGGTTCATCTCGCACAGCTCCACGCCTGTGCAGAGGTGGGTGGGCTCCTGCCTTGCCCAGCTTGCTCCGAGAGGGTTTCACGGCGCAGGCAGCTTATTACAGCTGGGGAACACCTGAGAGTTAAAGCTTGTAAAGCTGCCGATGTCGATCCCATGACAGACTTCCCTGGGAGGCTTAATCCTCTCCCTCTGTGAAAGAATACTCGTGTTGGCAGCGCGTGTAATACTAACCACTAGCAATGTTTTTCTGAGCAGTTGCCTTTTTTTCAGTCTGAAACAGTTATTATAGAACGTGTTTCTTGGGGAGTGTCGGAGCTCTGCAGGTGTTATACGTGCAGGTAAAGTATTAAAGATTTTTAAAAATCCCTTTCTCTGGATTATATTTGCTTTAGTATTTTATATTAAAAAAACAAAACAAAACAAAACCCTTCAACAAAGCTGTAAAAATGCAAGCAACATCCTCTTTAAAGCCTTTGTATATACATGCATCCCTCACACGCTTTTTTTTTCTTGGCAAATGGGGCTGTGTCAGAACACACACAGTGGGATGCAAGACATTCATTAATTGTGTTTTGTGTGCCTGTGTGCATGCAAGCGGTTCTTTGAAAGTGCAAGCTGCCGGGCAAGAGGCGTTGGAGCCACATGAAACGGCCGCAGCTTCAGGGCAGAGCCAGCCCCAGGCTGCTTTCCAGCTTTTTTTTTTTTTTTGGGGGGGGGTTTTTTGTTTTTTTTTTGGCTGGAGCTATGTCCCGAATGGAAGGTGGTACACTGAGATGAAAGGGTGAAAGCTCTGCGTCCCTGGAAGATCTTTGCTTTCCTCCTGAAGTTGTGTCTTGGTGAGGATGCTGTGTCTGCTTTACCCCTATAAGAATCAAAAGGAGAAACACCCCCTCTATCAGCATAGGCCCGGAATGTCTGTCCTGAGTGCCAGCCATGCTGCTGATGCTGGGATTGTCTCGGATGAGGGATTGGCACAGCTTTTGGGAGGTAGCTCCAGAACGGTGCTTGAAGCAGCAGCCTCCCTGGCCCCGTGGCATGGGACGAGGGCTGTGCGTGCTGGCTCAGTGTTGTACAAGAAGTGTAAATGTCTTTAACCCCATCACCTTTCAAAAACTTAATTCCCAGAAGTTTTGAAGAGGTTCTGCCTGGAAAAGTTTTGTTGAAGGACTGGGAGGATTGCAAAAGGCACCCGAGCAGGGCATGGAGGTACAAGCGTGGGAGGTCCCCAGGCTGCCCGGGCGAGAAGCGGCACTGGTTACCTGCCCCATGTTGCTTCTCTCTCAGATTTCCCTGATTTGGTAGAAGAAGAAAATCACTCTGCCCTTCAGCAAGCTCAGGGGCTGGGAGGAGTGGGGAGGTGAGGGATGCTGAGGGTCTTGCTGTCGGCTGGTGGGGTGGTTGGGGGCGACACAGGGAAGGGGAAGGTGCAGGAGTCTAGAGAATTCCTCTAATATCTGAGGCTCTGGGTGGGATGAGCTGCCCTCCCCATGTGCTGCAAGGTGGCCAAGCCCCTACACCTGCTCCCGGTGTCTCCTCTCCAGCAACCTGATCCCACCCGATGTCCCCTGCACCAAAAGCACCGTTGGGCTCGCATAGGCAGCTACAGCTATGCAAGCCTCCCTGGTGCCACAGGGATGAAACCCAGCGCTAGGGAGGGAATCGCCCAAGCCACTTAACGCTTGGTGATCCTGCATAACGTGCTCGGTGCTCTCCTTATTTCCCAGGAGCGTGAGGCAGCTGGGCCATCAGTGCCATCCCCATGACTCCAGCCCTGGTGATCTTCCTGTCCATCCCAGCCCTGATCCTTGCGGCTGGATCCTGGTCGTGCCTCGACCACCAGCCCCTTTCCCGGGGCGGGTGGTGTAAGAGCCAGGTGGCTTTGAAAGCGGTTCGTACTGCCCAAGATGGGACTTAGCCGCAGTTAAGATTATGGGGTATGTTAATCTATAATTAATGGTAATGATACGGACGGTGGGTTATTACAGGGTAGCTGCCGGTGTTAGCAGCGTGTGCGTGGGCTCTCGGGGAGCTATTTGTGAGCAGGTCTGTCTAGTCATGTTGTTCCTGAAGGGCGTGGGGGGAGATGAGCCAAATCCAGGGTCCGGTCCCCTTCCTCCGTACGTGGGGCACCAGCTGGCCTCAGCTCGCCGGGGCAGGGCTCTCTGGGGGCACTTGGATGCGTTTAACCAGGGGGATGCAGGCGGGAGTCAGGCATGTATGGCGGAGGGAGAGGCTGTGGCTCTGAAAGGAGCTGGGTCACCCTGGCCGAAGGGGCTGCGGGGGGTGGCCGGGAGGGCTCCCGGGGCTGTAGAGCGAAGGGGCTGCGACCACCCCTCTGAGGTGATGTGGGAGGTGGGTTCAAAGCGGCAGAGATGCAGGATGCAACATGTCAGGGGGCACCCACGCGTTTGGATGCTGGGCTCAGCACGGGGAGGCTCTCCGCCCACGGCCGGGTTGGGAGTTTTGCCCCAAAACAGTTTTTCCCCACGCCAAAACGATTTGGCAAATTGAACCCAAATTGGGGCTGGCATGATGATGTTAGGTG